AAAAAAAAGCTGTTCAGTACCCATATACGGTACACAATATACTCAATAAGACTTTATCTTTCCTTAAGACAGATTTAAAATTACTAACTTAACCCTCCCCTTCCCCCAAAGAGAATAAATATATTAATTTTCTTGGATTTTAGGATCTTCAAGATGAAGTTCAAAGGGAGAATACTAATCTGCAAAAACTACAGGCCCAGAAACAGCAGGTACAGGAACTCCTCGATGAACTGGATGAACAGAAAGCACAGCTGGAGGAGCAACTCAAGGAAGTCAGAAAGAAATGTGCTGAGGAGGCCCAGCTGGTAATGTCTGGCCATTTTCTGCTGCCTGCATTTATACATTAATTGCTTTTCCTGGCTTAAGAGGAAAACATTCCCTACTTTTTGTTGTTGGTGGTGGTGGTTAGCAATCTAGTCAGCATTTGGGTTCATGGGGGAGATGGAGCAAGGTTCATCCAGAAATTACAGGCCCTCTTTAGAGGAAATAGAAGGGCAGTTTTTGAACTGTTTTTCCAAATTTTTATTGGAAATATGGTGTCTGTACCTTCAGCTCTCCTCTATTCCTCCCCCAGTTACCCTTATCTACCAAAACCACACATCAAAAAACATAATTTTCCAGGCACAGTGGCTTAAACCTGTAATCCCAGCATATTGGGAGCCTAGGGTGGGAGAATTGCTTAAGCCCAGGAGTTGCAGACCAACCTGGGAAACATGGAGAAATCCCATCTCTACAAAAAATATGAAAGCCAGGAGTGGTGGCTCACATCTGTAATCCCATGTACTCTGGAGGCTGAGGTAAGAGGATCACCTGAGCCTGGGGAAGTTGAGCCTGAAGTGAGCTCTGATCATGCCTCTGCACTCCAGCTTGGGTGACAGAGTGAGACTCTGTCTCAAAGAAATAAAGCATCAACAACAACAAAAACAAAACACCATAATAGGGCTGGGTGTGGCTGGGCATGCTTCTATAGTCCCAGCTATTCAAGATGATCACTTGAGCCCAGGAGTTTGAATCCAGCCTGGGCAATGCAAGACTGTCTCTGAAAAATTAAATTAAATAAGTTATTTACTATTTCTGTCCAAAAAAAAAAAAAATCCCACCAAAATAGTAAACTAAACAAATAAATGTATTGCATTTGGGAACATTTTAATGACATCTTTTCTTTTAATCTCCATTTCTTCTTCACTTTCGTATTATAGATCTCTTCTCTGAAAGCAGAATTAACTAGTCAGGAATCGCAGATCTCCACTTATGAAGAAGAACTGGCCAAAGCTAGAGAAGAGCTGAGCCGTCTACAGCAAGAAACAGCAGAACTGGAGGAGAGTGTAGAATCAGGGAAGGCTCAGCTGGAACCTCTTCAGCAGCACCTACAAGATTCACAACAGGAAATTAGTTCAGTAAGTCTTTGTAAAGCAAGAAATATACTCAAATGGATCCTCTGTATCCTTTAGTCAGTTATACTTTCCAACTTCTGCTCCTCGAACCTCTTGCCTAGTTTACTGTTCATTTTTCAGTCATTTTATACAATAGGTTTTTTGTCACCTGTTACATATTAAAACTATCATACATCTTGTACATCTATGTGATGATTATCATTGGAGTGATTAAGAGTGTGGGCTTTGTGGTTAGATGGTCTAGGTTTAAGTACCGGTCTGCCACTTATTAGCTAAATCACCTTAGTATCAGATTCTTCATCTTTAAAATTAGAGGATTAATAAGTACTCTACCCCTTTGGGCCACTATGAGAATAAATGAGGCAAACCTGTGAGACATTTTAGCATGGTGCCTGGTACATAAATGCTCAATAAGTGTTGCTTATTATATAAACGGTAACCTAGTGTCTTCTGTTTTGTGGTTCTAATTTTGAATTCACATTTGCTAATTTGGAAACTTTTTTTTTAGGAAATTGTTACTTCTGTAGTTAAAGGTGCATTGCTATATAGATGGTCTTATGTATAAATCCTTTGGTTTTTTATTTCCAGTCTTCCTACGTGAAGACTAATGTTTTAAAGAATAAGATAGTTAGGGCTGGCCACGGTGGCCTATGCCTGTAATCCTAGCATTTTGGGAGGCCGATGCAGTGGATCACTTGAGGCCAGGAGTTCGAGACCAGCCTGACCAACATGACCAAACTCTGTTTCTACTAAAAAATACAAAAATTAGCCAGGCGTGGTAGCACGTGCCTGTAATCCCAGCTACTTGGGAGTCTGAGGGACAAGAATCGTTTGAGCCTGGGAGGCAGAGGTTGCAGTGAGCTAAGATCACACCACTGCACTCCAATCTGGGCAACAGAGTGAGAATCTGTCTCAAAAAATAAAAATTTTTTAAAAAGGATAGTTAGAAACACAGAGATCATGTAGTCCATTTCTTGCATTCTGAATATGAACAAACTGAAGCCAAGGAAGTTAACTTTCCCATGGTTACATATCCTTTAAAAGAGCTGCAGTCTAAAGTCTGGTTCTTTTAAAACCCAGTTCAGTGTGCTCAGTTATTATATATGATGAAGTCCTTCACTTTTGTGCTTCCTTACCCCGTCTTATCTGGCAGCTGAGTACCTACCTAGTCATTCATCATGCAAGATATACCTTAAGTTCTTATTCTTTATGGTATTTTCTTCATCCTGCCTTCGTTGGGCTTTATATTTCTGTCATAGCAATAATAAGATTTTTCCCTGCATATTTCCTTATATGTCTATCTCCCCTAGCAGACGGACATTTTTGGTCCAGAAACATACACATTTTTAAAAATTCCTATCATTTAGCACAGTTCTTGTCCCAGTGTAGGTACTTACTTTATTAACAGGTAACCTGAAAGAGTTACTGTAGTGAGAATCCTACCAGATGAATGGGTATTCTTTAAACTATTTTCTTTTTCTTAATTTCTTAAAAAAAAAAAAAATCCAAGTATACTAGAATCTCAAGAGAGGAATACTTATTGTTAGAAATTATTGAGTCTTTCCTCTAAGCCATGTAGCATTCCCAGAGGATTATTTTTAAAGGAAGCAAATGTATCCTTGACCAAGTCTACAGGTATAGCCATTTTTATTTTTTTGAGACCTCCCGAGTAGCTGGGACTACAGGTGCACTCCACCATGCCCAGCTGATTTTTATATTTCTTGTAGAAATGAGGTTTCACCTTGTTGCTCAGGCTGGTCTTGAACTCCTGAGCTGAAGCAGTTCTCCTGCCTCAGCTTCCCAAAATATTGGGATTACAGGCTTTAGCTACCGCACCCAGCCCATCAGGAAGTGGAGGAGGGCATTTTTGTGTTACGTGACTTTCTAGTAATAAATTCTGTTCTGTATATTTGCTTTGTGTTGGCAGATACAAATGAAACTGATGGAAATGAAAGATTTAGAAAATCATAATAATCAGTTAAATTGGTGCAGTAGCCCACACAGCATTCTTGTAAATGGAGCTACAGATTATTGCAGCCTTAGCACCAGCAGCAGTGAAACAGCTAACCTTAATGAACATGCTGAAGGCCAGAGCAACCTAGAGTCTGAGCCCATACACCAGGAATCTCCAGTAAGTCTAATACTTTCACAATCAGTCTCCTTGGGCAGATCAAAGTTTCGTTGGCATTTTATCTAGTATAAATATGTGACCATGCCTCATCTGAGAACAATTGAGATTTCTTCATAAGAGGCAGAGAGTGGGTTCTAATTCAACAATTATACATTTTAACTAGTATGAAAATCGATTGTTTTTTTTTTTTTTTTTTTTATGGACCAGGCTGGAGTGCAGTGACATGATTGCACTTCACTCCCGGACTCAAGGGAGCCTCCTGCCTCAGCCTCCTGAGTAGTTTAGATTACAGGCATGTGCCACCAGGCTCAGCTAATTTTTATATTTTTAGTAGAGGTAGGGTTTTACCATGTTGGCCAGGCTGGTCTTGAACTCCTGACCTCTAGTGATCTGCCCATCTTGGCCTCTCAAAGTGTTGGGATTACAGGCGTGAGCCAC